CAAGTTTTACTGATCAAAACAGATATGCGTACATTTGAAATAACAGTTCATGCTATCTCCAGACACAAGCATTGCTGATGACAGCCTCCACTGAAAAGCAAAAAGTCATGAACCCCAGAGTGGGTGGTCCTTCTCTATTTGATGGCAGCCTACAGGAACAGCTCTAGCTTTAAATCTTTCTGCAATATTGGACCACCATCATGCTGCTGACTGAGACCTGCCTTTAGACATACCTTCGAATCCCACCAGTTATGCACACCTGAAAAAATACACCTGATTGAGCAAAGTCAGCAGATCACGATCAAAAATCCTTGCATTTAATTTACATTTCATAAACAGTCAACCGAAGACACCTTTCACAAACATTTCTCTACTGCAACCATCCATAAGTTAGTAACATTGAATTAGAAGTTTTAATTATTGCCTTTTTTTTTATCTATGCCAATATTAAGCAAGGGACATAATTGTACTCTTCTCACTCATAAGACATTTATTACTACAAGGATGCTTCAGCTAATTTGTCTTTTTCTTTTAAACCATGGTGTTGGCTGCTTACACTTACCCAAAGGTATTTGAGAAACCTGCAGATTTAACCTTTTATTTTGTTTAACTGACGTTAATGAAATGTCTAAGAGTGAAACAGTGTGCACATTGAACAGGCTGTGATTGAAGTGATGGTTAGTCCCCCCGTGTTGCTTACATTGGACCTGCTCTCTGAGATTAGAATAATATAAGCACATAAGCCTTTGCTTGTTCACAGCCTCCTTGCCTACACTCTCTCCACTCCTGTTCGTTCTGAGTTATGTAATTGCGTCGAGAACCTTCTGCATTGCGTCTACTGTTTGACCACATTCGAGAGGAGACATAAACTTGCTCTTAAGGAGAATTTTCATCCTTATGAGGGATATGATTGATCCACACCCTGCCTTCTATTAAGAGTGAGTGAATAGGGCTGAAGAAACCAAAACCACCGCCTCCTTTCCCTCTGGTAGCAGATGTCAAACAGGAAGCGGGGGGCAGGCTGAGCACAGAGACCCCTCTCAGAGCCTTAGCTGCCCGTAAAAGAAAAAGAAAACATNGGGGGGCAGGCTGAGCACAGAGACCCCTCTCAGAGCCTTAGCTGCCCGTAAAAGAAAAAGAAAACATAAAAAAAAATGAATGTAGTTTTACAGGAAAGCTAAATCAAACTGAATCGAACTGAATCATATTGCTGGGAGAAACATAGAAGAACACACCTACAATTCAGTTTCAATGTTTATTTTTGAGTAAGTTTGGTTGTACCCAAAATAATTCAGCCACCAATTTAATTAGAGAAGTTTAAAAAAAAAATCAACTAAACTAATATCTATTTATTGGATTCAAAAGGACAGCCCTCTAGACATTACATACTAAGCAAAGCTACCAGAGACAGGCATCAGCCCCACTGATGGATAAGTGGGAGAGGATGGATGGATGGATTTATAATCTTAGTTCCCAATTAACTGCAAAAATAAAAATGAAATAATCCATGAACTAATAAAGATACAATTGTAGCAAGAGCAAAATTAGACATGTTCTTATGTTTGAACAATTCCTGCTTTTTCCTGACAGACTGGTATGATATTGTAATTTTTGACTTTATGGTGGTACAGTTTGTAGCACTGTTGCATTGCAGCAAGGGGGTCCTGGGTTCAATTGCTGGCCTGAGGTCTTTCTATATGGAGTTTGCATGTTTTTCTTGTGAATGTTTGGGTTCTCTCTGGGTACTCAGGTATCCTTAGGTATAATTGTGTGTGTGTGCAGGGTTGCATGTCTATATGTTGCCATTTGATGGATTGGTGACCTGTCCAGGATCTAACCTTCCTTTTGCTCATAGACTGCTGGAGATAGGAACCACCCCCCTCTGACTCTGATAAGAGGCAGAACATTGATGAGTGGATGTAAAAGCAATGATAAACACAAAAGGGCTTTCTAAACACAACAATAAGCAGTGTTTATTTCAGTAAAGTACCTTACAACTGCAACATAAAGAAATGAAAGAATATTTTTACTGAAAATGATAAAGTTGCTGTAAAGCAAAGTGAGTTATTTGATTATGTTTGGATCATCCTTGCATTTTTCTGACAGTCTACTATAATAATGCAATATTTTTATACTAAAAGCTAATTTATCACAAAAACAAAGTAAACATGTCTAAATTGCAGGAAGTTTCACAGATTTGCGACTGAGATTTACTGTCTGCAGCCAAAAGTTTTGTACTCGTCAATGAATGTATTGAACTCATTACAAGTACGGATGTTCCCAGATTTTTTACACTCCACATCTAGCGGCTTCCTTTCCACCCAGGTGTTTGATTCCAACAAATACTGCATGCTGCAAAGACAGAAACAATAACAGTTTAGAACGCTCAGTTTAAAGCTGCATTTTTGTCTATAAAACTTATTTTACTTACTTTCCATCTGAGTCTTTAGTGGCACCATCTTTGCCCATTATCAGATACTGCATTTTAAGCTCTAACCCCCCCTTGCAATGAAGTCTTTTGGCAAACACTCGAACACTGTCTGTCCTCACATGCAGGTCATTATCTAGTAGAAAAAAACATTACTATTTTGAATACCAAAAATTTCACCAAAAACTAAAAAACCTTTTGTTTAAACCTCTGCTCTCAGTGTCGGTTGGATACTTACATGTTCGAAGGATCTCAATAATTCTGACTTTGTACAGCTCAAAGTTGCTCTTAAAAGAAACTTCCTGGACTTCCACAATATACGCTGGAAAACAAGCAATCAAATAAAAAGCTGAATAACTTACTACACGCATTCTTGCCCCACAACAAATGCACCACAACACAAACCAGTCTATAAAACTATAACTATTGATGAAACAGTTGTAGAGCTATATAATAGATAGCAGAAATGTGTTATTCATTAAGGTGTTTAGAAGACTTGTTAATTTAGTAGTTTAACAAAGAAAAATTATTTATGAAAATTTTTAATCATATCTTAAAAACACATTTAGTTAATAATTAATTAAACACTTTGATGTTATCAGCTATGCAAAAATTGTTTTTGGTGGGACTGTAGTACAAGAAATGAAAAGTAATTAAAAGCTGCACTAATTGTAGATGTACATGTTTTGTTTTGGATTTTAGCTCTCAATTGC